CGTCCATGTTGCCTTGCGATACATTGATCTTTGGATCGTGCAGTATTATATTCTGATATGTGGTACATCCAGGAATAGAAATGCCATGTTCGATTCACGTTCTAAGGTGAATTTTTACTGATGGGTGTACTGCGTTGAGGGTTTTGAGGAGATACTCTGAATCAGCTTTCTTCATCCCAGCTTACAAACCTATCTCTTATATAGGTGCAGTTTACTGATCAAAGGATGATCGAGGATGCTGTCTTTGAGACTCACCATGAAGCAGTCAGCTAGCAGTGTACCTAGAGGAGACCCCATAGCGAAACCATCTTTCTGTACATAGAATTGTTTATTGAATTTGAAGTGGATATTAAAGGTGCATCCGAACTTCTAGGATGTTGGATTTGGTGTAGTCACAGATGAAGCATATTGTCTCGGTCAGTGGGATGCTTGTGAGTAGATAGTTGATATCTATTGAATGCATTTTTCTTTCAGACACGTTGATATCTTTCACTGAATAGATGAAGTCGAACGTACAACTAAGGCTATACTTTTTCATTTGTCTCCTTACCGGTTTAAGGATATCTGCTAGTCACTTAGCGATCTGATGATGTGGTGAGTTGATCATGTCTATGATAGGTCGAAGTGGAACATTCTTCTTATGCAATTATTTCAAACTGTTCTCTAATCCATACTCAACAATTACATCCACTGGATAGAAAGTTTTATACTCATACTGTGGTGAGAGCTGGCTGCTAGCCAAAGTTGGAGGACAGTGATTGACGTCAATGTTTATGTCCCCAATATTGGTGGTGAGAAAATGAGAACAAAGGCTTTGCGTAGGCGGGTACAGTTAGCTTATGGATGATCTGACACAGCCACAAAGAGATGCAAGGTTAACGTTCTGTGAGAAACAACCAATCAAAAGACTGTATTTTCTACTAACGATAATCTACAATGATGTACATTAAAATCTATAAATATGTGTTGATTTTCCTTAATAAACAATCTGTTGCCTGGCCCTTGTCTTCCGTTGTTACAATACTTTTATAGCATCATATCACCCACAATAATTGGCACCACCACTGCCTAAAGCTGTATTTTTGTATAGAGTAGGTATGAGTCGGGTTCACACTTGCACCTTTTGAAGAAAAATTATTTCTTCTTAATGAGAATGTAAAGTCAGATTATAATTAAATAGGGCGATTTACGCAAGGTTGGCTGATTTTAAAGTAGTTCTCGAAATAGAACAACATTTAACCAGTCGTCATTATTCTAACTATGAACTACTGGTCTTCTGTCTATTAATGTTATTATAATAATAATAATAATAATTTTTATTTCTGGAACAGAAACCAGCCATTTTTACAGGCATGAACAAATGTTCGAATGGGAATTTTTCAAAAGTATTAATTTCAGAAGATGAGTATGTAATAATAAGTCCAGGAAACTCTGTATTTCATGAAGGATAGAATGCTTTGACAACAAGAAAAAATAAACGATTAAAACGGCTTAAATAAATTGATTGATCGAAATGGAATAGACGGAGTAACATGTGACATAATCAATATCAGTAACCAATAACAAAACTTATCATTGTGTGTAAACTATTGAAATATAATTATAATTTATGCGACATAATCCTCTATATTGACCGACTGATCGCTGTTGCCGTTCCAACTTATTGTTCATCAGTTTTCTTAAATACGACTATTCAGGTGATCGAATTTCTAGGTCATAAGTATGATTGTGTGAAACGTATTATACATACAGGATATACTATGAATGGAAGCCTTTTGAAAGACAATAACTAGTGTAAATTTGTTTTTATCTGCGAATATGAGGTTACGTATTATGTGGATAGCAGATCAACAGTGCGTTGAAGTGATTATTATTATTATATGACCTGCAAACACCAAACCACTTTTCTTTAGACAGTTTCATTTTGCCTAGTTTGTTGTCAGCAAGCGTCTAAACACTCGATTAAACAGAATACAAGATAATTATAAAGCTTTATTTGAGGCAATATGTGAACACATGGTACAAAAATTTTCAGCGCATATAGTTCCAAGATACTTTTTTCTTCATATAGGATATACATGTAAAGTAATAATCTAAAGTATACCTTCATTTCGTTAAAGAACTGCACAGCGTTTACTTAGAAGCAAGTTAAATCAGCGCGCAAGATCACATATTGATTATCTGATATGACTGGACGATTAAAAAATGATAAATCCAGATGGAATTAAACATTTTGGCGGGAAGCAATTTTTGTAGCCCATTGATTTCAGCAGGCCGCCACTCGCATAATTTATTTTATTTTTTGGTTACAGCTTGGTGCCACACCGTATTTTCAGTACAAGTATGGAATTTTCAGCACGGATATCGGTAGCCCAAATTTTGCAGGCCGACCATAGATATCGGGTGTGCGTCGGCAGGGGATCGAACTCCGGACCATGTGCATGGTCGGCGAGAGTCCTAACCATTGTGCCACTTAATGTCCACTCATATAATATTCGAAATTTAACTGGTAATAAGGTCGAAGAAAGTGTAAAGACACACTAAAGGGATGTAATTAATTTTTTTAAATGAAGTGCATAAGTAAACATCGAAAACTGAAGTAATAAACCGTCACATTTTATACAATTAGTGTAGAGTATTAAATCAGCGATTGAAGGAAAATCCAAACTATTTGTCACTTATATAATAGAATTTGGGCACTGTATTACAGCATAATGACATCAAAGAATAATTTTTTGATAAAAAACAATAATACAGTATTTATCACTGTTTAGTGAGTAAATTATCCGTTTCAAGCAGATACTTACAACCGCATTGTGTTGCAAAATAAATTTATCTAAATAAAATCATAAAATATTCAAACGTAGAAATATTTTAGCGAATAGTTGTTTGTAGTAACTTCCTCCTCAGACTCCTCAATTATAAACTGATGGGTATTACGCAACAGCTAGTAGAACCTATTTTATAAACAATACAATAACAAGTGGATTCGAATACAGTTAGTTTAGAAGATAGTATGGTAGGGAGTTAACAACTGGAGGGAGACCACTACTGAAGTTCAACACTCAGAAACTGGACGACAAATCTACAAAGGATACCTTCACTACAGATCTGATCAGAGGAAAGTCGGAAGCACCAAGTAGGATCACTGAGGAAACCTGTATAGAAGAATAATAGAACTCTCTGAACGTAGTGTTTGAGGAAACGTGTACAACCCTTCCAAGAAGAGAGAAGTGACAAGATAAGGAATAGCTCTCAACGGACACCTACCTGGAAGTTAATAGAAGAAAGGAGGATGGTGAAAGAGATGACTCAATGCAGAGATGAACATCAGAAGGGGAAGCCGAATTCAGTATACATCGCACTGAATTAAGAAAAATGCCAGTAAAGACAATTCTAAGACCCACTAAGCAAAAGAGGCAGTGCGCAGGCAAAAGAGAACTAAGGAAATTATACCAGATAACCATGTCACCATCCAAGAAAAGATCAATGCAGATGAAACCTATAGAATATGGTCAAGGGAACCTAATTACCAAGGAGTAGGGACAAATATATCAATGGGCTGATCACTTCAAAGTATTCTTGAATTGACCATCGCCTACAAATACCACCAACAATACTCACAGAACTGCCTGCCACTGGACACAAGTCCCATAACAAAAGCGGAAATCTTGAATGTTATCTAGTTGCTTAAGTTCAGCGAGACGACAGGGCCAGATGGAATCCCTTCAAAGCACTGAAAACAGACATTGAGACTGCGGTAGATATGATCACGCCATTATTGCAAATGGTTTGGAAGGAAAGAAAGGTATCTTGTCGAACTACCAAACAAGAGTGACCTAGGCTTTTGTCCACGCCGAGTAAAATATTAAGTCGCGTCATCCTGGAGAGAATAAGAGATGCACTGGATGCAGAACTCCGCCAGTCCCACCGGAACAAGCTAGATTCAGGAAAGGCAAATCATGTGCTAATCAAATTGCTACTCTATGCATCATCATCGAACATAAGCGTAGAATGAAATTCAAGAAAGACCACTAAAACCTAGTCAAATTGACATTCGATTTGAATGCTCAGTTAGAGCTATTGAGCTAGCAGCGAAATCAGATAAAACAACGGGTTTTCTTTCAGTATTCAGATTATATATTCCTATTAGTTAATGAATATACTCTTCTCAATGTCCTGATCAAATATCTGAATATACTTAATGAAGAATACGCTTCTGTAAAAGGTTACGCAGTGGTATGTAAGACAATTCTGTTCCACACAGTGTGATTTTTAAAATAAACTTATCTAGTATACAATTACATTCCACTAGAATTCGAGTTCTACACTTACATTAAGATCAGTCTGCACTAACTCCACGCTTAAATGCATTAGGTGTTCCAATAACTGAAAATAGTCTGTTTAAACAGCATAAGGTTTTGACTACAGCTTTTCTCAAGTTTGGTAACTTGAAATGATGCACTTCATTGAAAAGAACTATGTTAATCAGTGAACGCTTAATGCGAATATTATTAGAATCTAAATTGATACTCTATTTTCTGATGAAAGTTTCACTGGCATAATGTGCATCTATCTCACTGTTAGTTGGCATTGTTTATCTCATCGAATTTACGGATACTGTTACCATCATCTTGGTGTCTCCAACTCACATAACGAAAGCTATCAATAGAGAAAATAATCTTTAAAGAAGCTACCCAAATATTCATTGATTCACGAAGAAAACATTCTTGTATCGATTTGTTGGTTAGAATTCAGATACCAGGATCCACGCATATTTTGTAAGGGCTGGTGATACTATTCAGTTGCACAAACTAAAGTAGGTGAGGCGAGTCTCACTGGCTGAAAGTTGACTAGCCCCCTATGCAATAAACTGACTACGTTAACGAATCCCCGAGGTTATCAAGTAACGATTGCTGCTGCTAATGATATGTAACACTTATACCCTAAACACTACAGTTGTTTCTGAGGATTAATGAACATCAATACAATTAATTGATACTTTTCATAAAGGCATTTATTAAATTTTAACCTTTATAAAAAATACAAGTTAAGAAAAGTGAAAGAAATCGTTTTCAGAACTGTTATTCATATGCATGAAACCATAGTTATTGGAAGAAACACACAATATGCAAATGAATAATTATCTGACACACACACACACATGTTTGACTGTGATAAATTCATTTAAAATGCAGAATAAATAGTCGAAAAAGACAGCAGTAAATATAGAAGAAGGTAGACTGACAATATAAACAAAGGTATTTCTCCAATCTTAATAGTTATTGCGTTATATCTCATAGCTAGAAATATAATCAGTATTACACATGAAAAGTTAATAAGGGAAGAAAGATTATAAGTGCATAGGAAAACCAACTGGACAGTAAAACCATCAAAAAAATATGCATATTGAGGTCAGTTTCTTCAAAGGACGAAAGAGAATTGCTCATTGAACAATACTGAGATTCCGTGTTAGAACAAGAAGAAGAAAACTTAAGCTAATTACAACAGAATATAAACAATCTTATCATACATAATTATAAATAAGACAATTTTATAATGCATGAAAAATCATTGATTAACTGATTGAATTATTGCGTGATGCTGAACACTTTAATGTGAAGACATGAGGCGATCTCGTTGACCTACACAGTTTGAAAAGATACAAAGAAATTAAAATCGAAATTCAGTGTAACAACAATGTATACAACCCTACAAAAGTGAAAATAACAATACTACAGCCAATTAGAATGTTAAAACATTACTACTACTACTACTTTGTTACAAATGTCAGTATATCACTGTCACTATTCAACAGCCTGTAAATAAACAGATTCATAAATATGTCAATAACTGAAACTATGCTGTGTAGGTTTTCTGTCGCGAATTCAACAATGACAATATACAAACACAGATGTATGAAGGATGAAAACTGTTAAGTAAACACGGAGGGAATTTTTGTTGTCACACTGAATGCATAAATTTAGGGCTTTGTTTATCATCTGAAATATTGGTTTGCGGTAAACAAATAACATTACTCCTAACTTATACCTATAAATCAGACGACCAGGTTCTGAAGCTACATCGACTGAGATGGATACGACGTGCTGCACACGCTGAGACAAGGCCTTCCTCGACAACCAATGTTTGCCGACATTGGATTAGATTGAAAGAGTTAGGGTTGGTTAAATTAATATCTGACATCAATCTATGAAGTCTTTCAGTGTTGGTTTGAGCCAAGTAGACTGCCTAGTTAGGGTCTTTTGTATCTGATCCTACAATGTGAATCGTACTACTAACTGCTGATTTAGAGCCCAAAACACTAAGACAAGGCAGGCATACGGGAATCTTCAGGCAAAAAAATGCGAGTAACTAAATTCATTGCAAAGGCTTGGGCGGCACTATTTCAGGAGCTTGAGAAGGCAGCCCTCTTGCCAAACCTGCTGCGATAGTGGCGTTAGCATATCCACTGATCTCTCTGGGTCCGTTTTAAGGGAATACCCTCTAGAACTACTACTTTTCCGACTGGTTTACAGCAGCACCACGGCATTCAGGACCTTTAATTTTGCTAGAGGATTAATGTTCACTGTCCATTTTGTGGTTATTTTCGGTATTTCTGGACTAAATGTAGGTGGTTCAGAAGTGTCCAGCCCAGCGTTTCCTTTATTTCTCCTACTTGCCAATTATGTGCATCTCACTATCTTTCACTGGTTTCACCTGAGTTGATCTCTTCCCAGATAGCGACCTAGTTGACTGGTATAGTGAACTGAGGATCCTCTTATATGCAGCCTATTCCGATTCAGTTTCCAGTGTAAGGTAGAATTCCTCCTTGTTCTTCCTAACATTATTCTTCACTTCTTTTTTCATTGCACAATACATTGAATCCATCTTCTTGCTTCGTTGCCCACTTATGCACTGCTTCATTTCCTGTTTTACTTTCCCCAACTAGCTTCCACATGTCTGTAGGGAGTTATCCATTGTCTTGCATCTTCTTTCTTCTTAAAACAGATTTCATCGGTGATGCTACACAGTGTCTCCGACTGCGTTCTGGTGCCTACAGTTTATGTGTCCTTCGTAGTTTTGTCCTGCAGTTTCTGAGTGTTGGACTTAAATCGTGGTCCACCACTAGCCCCACTGAATGTTTATAACTCGACCTTGAAAATCCCTTGTACTACAATATTCGTCTGAGTCCATATTTGTACCTCTTCTCTATTTTGTATCCAGTACACTGCATCTCCACTTTATTCGGATTGAGGTGAAGTCTATCTGAATGTGGTGTATCCATCTGTCGCTTTGTGTTTGTCTGTGTGTTCGTACATGCCCTCTTCAATCATTAAGTCATTGAAAGGATGGAGGTCTGTCAACAGTTCTCTGTCCTAACTCATTTCACCGAGAGGCTTCGGACGCACAGTGGGTTCTCCTCCTCTGTTGTCTGCTCCTGGTTTGGCTTTCATTCAAATCACCCATCAGGATTTTGGAGTCTTGTTTGCAGGTGTCTGTAGAAGATTTCTTTCCTGCCTTGGTATGCACTGTCTGCAGGCACGTAGCGTTATATAGTTATAACTTTCCCTATTTTCCGGTTGAATATTGTCGTTATTATCCTGAAGAGACTGGCTTTCACTGCATGAGAGTTTGGGATGCTGCTGGTGACATCATGATAGCCACTCCTTCAGTATGTTGATGGTAGTCATCAAAACGATTAGAGTATATTACTGAACCTCCAGTTGACGATTTTGAGAGTCTACTTGCATTCTGTTTAATATTACAGATTCATAGCGCTTCTGTGCTGCATTCTCTCATATCTTATACAATCCAAGCAACCTTTCTAACTTTGAACATTATACGGGCATCAAATGTCCGCATGCCTGTTTTATCTTTCATTGAAAGAAGACACATCACTTGATTAGCCTCCCTAAGGCTTTTGTCATCCCACGTCATTCTCTCTCTATAATTCCAGCTAAGCATAGGTGGAGTTTTCATTCTTTTTCAGCACTTTAAGTTTCTGTAACGATTAGATTGATTTACAGGGGTAGGATTGCTGGCATCACGCCTAACCTTCTTTCTTTTTTCAGTCCGGTTTTTAAACTAGGTGAGGAAAACTAGACTGTGTAAGAAGTGTTGATCAGTAGCCAATATTGGCGACTGGAATATAGTCTTTTGCAGTGCCCAAGTTCAACTTCAATACTAACTCCGTTTTAATATTGACTCTAATAATATTTTATAGAAAGATAGTGAAGGCTTCGTAGTTTAACCACTGAAAGGGAAAATTGCAATGTACAATGAAATACAAACTTTCCGTATCATTTAAGAAAAATACTCTAGTGTTTTTAGTGAAAATAAGAAGAAAAATGATGCCTGGAACATTTTGGCAATTAACTCCATTCATTCAAAAAGGTGATATTTCGACTTCAAATATGCTAAAAAATTAATATTTCTGCTCTTGCACAAAAACCGTTCATAGAAATAATGATGATAGTACTTACCACTTGATAAGCATAATAAATATGATCCAAAGTAACAAAAGCTGTTAGCATGTAAAGAGAGATGTATTCAGTGGGTGAGTTTTTACTCAGTGGAAAACCAAAGCACACAATAGAGGTAATCATTGAATATAGATAAACTTCTTTATTATGAATCGGAGCTGGAACATGGCATAATTGTGCAACGATTAGATGACACTGGGAAAAAAAGACGATGAAAGAAAAGACAGTAAGAAGTAGAGAACATATGGAAATCAATCACGAAAGCGGTAGTGATAAGTTCATTCTTTCCAAGAACAGCACTGGTACGAATTTCGGTAGCTATATAAAAGTAATCCAAACAATCATGAGTATAATATATTTTCTTGATGTCGACTTTTTGTAATCTATGACAGTTAAAGGGGAAACCGGTTGCCATATCCAGGCGCGCGACATTTAAGTAGTACTTAGGTGATTAACTTAGTGAACCACAGCTTTACAATTTTTGTGTCACAATCATTCATATTAGCATCATCTCATATGACTGATGGATATACAAAGTATTCAAAAACAAACTTCGACAGCCAATTTGCATAGAATTTCTGGTAGACGAAAAGAGTTTAGGAGTACGCAAAACACAGTTTTATGGTAATCAGTGTATGTATTCTTTGATCCCCAATGCATGTGTACCATTATAGACCAGAAAACAGTTAGAAAGCTAAATTAGAAGAAAAATTTGACCGTCTGAAGCACACAATACATTCCGGAATTGGCAGCATAGGGCAGTGATATCCACTTAGCTAACTGTAGATCGTACACAAACAAGTGAACTTGACACGACAGTGTACCGAAATGCTGTAGACATCTGACCATGTCGCTTCAGCTTAACTAGTGAAGGTCAACACCCAATATTGAATTATGAGAGTTATGAGCTAGTAATTTTAAGATATGATTTACCACCCCAGTTCACTCCTCCTAGTTACGTCATTAGGGACCCTAGGACGCTACCGGAGGGAAGTAAAAGTCTAATTTGGATACCATTGGTTAGGCTTTTTTTACTATTGGTGTCATGCCAATGAGTGGCCCTGTGGTCGTTTGCCTATACCAATTGTGTGTTGTGTAATCTGTTTAAAATACTATTTACGGAGACAGATTTGACCATTTTTATCACTTGTTGCATAATCCAATTCATCCATTTGACGATATGAAAACCAAACACATCTAAAACAAGAGTGAACATAACATTATCAAGGTACAATTACGTTCAGTGGACTATATATATTTAGGCAGCTGTTAAAACTAATATTCTGTGAAAGAAGAATAATAATTAAAAGCAATAAACTTTGTATCAACATGAAAAATTGACTTGTTTCATATAATAATCACAATAACACAGAGTATATCGCCCTATTTACACATTATATTACAATGATTAAAGGTGATAATAGTAGCAGTAATAATGAGAGTTGAACAATCACTAATGCACTCACAGTATTTTTCAACAAAACTTACATCATTATGATTAGTACCATTTAAGACAGACATGTTATTTACAACTGTATGCTTGCTTTATTTATTAACAGGATATCAGTAAGCGAAAACAACAGTATTTTAAGGCGTTGAATTTGCAGTTAGATTAAACTGGTGTTAAAGGAATATATGTATATATATATATATATATATATATATATGCACGTGATTATGTTCCGTATGAAATGTAGTGACTAAAATTCAATATATGAGTGAGTAGATTATTCAACTAGGTGAACAACACTAATGACCTTAATTGCATGGGTTTGATGAAGGTTAATAGAAAATTACATATATATATTGTCTGTTGATAGATTTTTATTATTAAGTTAGATTGCATCACTAATCCATGACGGTTGGAGGAAGATGGTTGCCGCATCCAAGCTTACAACATCTAAATAGCTCACATAACAGCCAGTCCGTGAAAGAATGAGCTGATATCATTTTGATGTAGATACGAACACCACATCATAGATATGGAAACCAAACATATATGAAATAAAAATTCAGTAAAACAACTAGCTTCGGAACACAATGCTCAAGTAGTTACTAGTTACTTTCTTCCATATGAACTTATTGAAATTACTACAACTACTACAAGAATTAGTGATCTATGGGATACACACCAAGCTCTGTGTTAGAACAAGTATTTAACATTTGAATAGGAAAATTGTTCATATCAAGAAAAACAAAAGTCATAATTAAAAGTCGAAAAATCAACTTACTATCACATTTGAAGCAATCGTTCCCCAGCAAAACAAAAATACACGTGTATGTTTATCGAGAAGATTTGACGGTGAATAACTAGCCCATAGAGATGAACTTAAAAGAAGAACTGCTACAGGAAAGAGTGGTTTTAAGACTCCAGTCAATCCAAGACCACGATGCCATGGTTGTTTCTGCGGACATGTTTTTACAATGTTCCATAAGGTGACAGGAATATGAACAAAATAAAGTGAAACTGTATGGATTTAAAGGAAGAAAAAACAGAACAATTCATAGAGATATTCAATGCTTATTTTATGAAACACCATCATTTGATTATTTTATACTAATTTTTTACAAATGCGCTAGTAACTAGATTATCTAATGCTGTTTATTGTAAAGTCTAACTATCAGAATAGCGCAGTTAACTTATGTTGAAAAAATTAACAATTTGTTTACAATTAACCAAATTCACTATTTGCTGTTTTGTTAAATAAAAAACCTGCATGATAGTAGTCATGCGAAAAAGCTAACAAGTGACACAATATGCTAATAAATCACTCATAAATGAGCAACAGTCATATGAAAGCGAAATATCAAATAACAGTTGCACTAATAGAGAAGATTTGCAGCTCAGGTGGATAATATTGAATTAGTTGTGTTCTCTGAGCTGGTTGATCTAATTGCGGAGCTTTCATCGTCCTTCTAGACAGAGCAGGTTTTAACAACGTAAATTCAAGAGAATTCTCCTTGAATAACGTAATTGTATCTCCCGGCAACCACTGTCATGATCATCTTTACTGACTTGGAATTCGAACTTTCCTGTCATGTGATTTAATTTTTCATACATTTATTCCCCTTAATGAATTTGAATACAGCAAGAACAACAGGATTTGCAGAATCAAATGGTACCATCACTCATTTCTTTGCCTTCTCATCAGCTGCTTGCAGGCCAAAGGTATTATTAAGTGTATCTTCAGGAACAATTTTAACATACTTGCACAGAGTTCATTTTTTTTAAAGTGCATATATTGATTGATATTTGTTTAAAAATGAAGTCTGTGCAAGTATGTTAAAATGGTTTCTGTAGATATATTCAATAACCTTGGCCTATAAGCAGCTGATAAGAAGCCAACGAAGTAAATGACGTGCCATTTGATTCTACAAAAACTTTTGTTCTTGCTTCATTCAGATTTACTTTTTATTAGCTGGTATATTTGGTCTTAAGTGATGTGTTTGTTAATTGCTAATTCACTTGAGTACGAGGCTTCTAGAAATTCTCTGACACTTTTGGTGTTTCCTCTATTTAAAATTTCCACATTATCCCAATCTAATTGGTGTCCATAATTATCCATAAGCATTGATATGAAAGAAGCATGGAATGGCAATCAAACCTCTACCTCAACTTTATAGACTTTGAGAAGGCCTTCGACAGCGTTGACCGCGAAGTAATTTGGAAACTACTCGAGTACTACGGCGTACCCCAAATATTCATCAACCTTAATCAACAGCTGTACGACAACGGCACATGTCAAGTGATCCACAACGGAAAACTCAGCGAGGCGTTTGGAGTAAACACAGGAGTCAGACAAGGGTGCTTATTATCACCAATGATATTCCTAATTGTCGTGGACTATATCATGCGTTAGACAGTGGGAAACGAGAAGACAGGGATATCCTGGACTGACGTGAAGAACCTAGAAGACCTAGATTTCGAATTATGTTTGATGTCACACAAAATCGAAGACTTACAAGCGAAAACCGACAAACTGGTCGAAGAAGCAGCAAAGACAGGACTCCAGGTGAACATAGACAAGACGGAGGTTATGAAAATAACCAACCAACAACAACAGCAGCAACATCCAGCGCCAATCACCATCAACGGGAGGGATTTGAAAGAGGTTACTTCATTCACTTATCTAGGGAGCATTGTCTCAACTACAGGAGGAACGGAGAGGATGTCAAATCGAGAATCGGGAAGGCGACAAACACATTCATCAACCTGAAACCAATCTGGAAATCTTCGTCAATCAGCCTGCATCAACAACAAAATTCGGATTTTCAATACAAACGTCAAGTCAGTCAGTTCTTCTATACGGATCAGAAACTTGGAGGGTCACAAAGAATATTTCCAACAGCCTGTTGCAGACCTTTATCAACAACTGTCTTCGTTCTATACTCAAGATCAGATGGCCGGAAACAATCACCAACAAGAAACTATGGGAACAAACAAAACAAGAACCAATCACTCAACAAATATGCAGGAGAAAGTGGAGATGGATTGGACACTCGCTGAGGAGGCGGCTGGGTGACATCGCGCGTCAGGCCATAGCTCGAGTGGAACCCGAAAGGGAAGCGGCGAGTGAGACGTCCAAGGGTGACATGGAGGAGATCGTGTGAAGAGGAAATGAAACAGTATGGACTAACATGGATGCAAGTGAAAAGTACAGCAGAAGACAGAAGCAAGTGGAGACGTGCAGTTGAAGCCATATGTTCCACCAGGAACCCAAGGGAACAATAATCATAATTGATACGAAAGAATATAAATCATGTCATTTCACAGATAATGTGTGTTCTTGGATTTGGATTCGAAGGAGATGCTCACTGTGGCTGATGTAATGTCTACTGCAGTTCATATTGTTTATGGTATTAATTTCATCTTCTTTTTCTATCGGATAAAGATTGGTTTACACAATATCGCATGAAGTGATTTTGCTGGCTGGCTTGTGTGCCATATCTACTTCAAATAGTCCTAATATTGTAGCTGTTATATCCGAGATTTTTTTATCAATGGTAGAATGAATTTTCTTGTAGTCTTTGATGATGGCTTGTTGTTGGTGTCGTGACTCGAGTTTAAACACTGTTTGATGAAGTTGTGAGCATACACATTCTCTTTGAAGACGGTTAGTAGGCATTTTTCATCTATTCTCTTCAACACCGGAGTGCCACACTGTGTTTCAAATCTTTAAAAATCTCTCTACACACCAATTTGATGAGGATAATGTGGAAATTTTAAATAGAGGAAACACCAAAAGTGTCAGAGAATTTTTAGAAGCCTCGTACTCAAGTGAATTAGCAATTAACAAACACATCACTTAAGACCAAATATACCAGCTAATAAAAAGTAAATCACATGACAAGAAAGTTCGAATTCCAAGTCAATAAAAATGACTAACAGAGACGTAAATTAACAACCAGTCACGACAGTGGTTGCCAGGAGATACAATTACATAATTCGTGGAGAATTTAAATAAGTCCATTTTATTCTAAAATGTGCGCTGTCTAGAAGCACAACGGAAGCTTCGCAATTAAATCAACCAGCTCATAGAACACAACTAATTCAACAGTTGCATTAGTTGAACAAGTCACTTATTTCTTCAATGTAGAACAGATAACAACTTAAACATTCTCATGATCATAGTTAAAGAACATGATTTCAGCAAAGACGTATTTTCTGTAAATTCTCATCAGGATTTACATTGTTCACATATTGAAATATTAGTCATAGGCACTTGAATTAATGTGGTTAATAAAATATAGGATCAGAGTTCAGGGGTATGAATTAATGGATAACAGTTGAGGTGATCATCATCATAATAATATCAACGATAAATTCATTCAAGTGTTTATATAATCTAGGCAGTGGTGAATGTATGGGTAGAATGTGCATTCTAGTAGGGGTAGAGGGGAAAAAATAATTATTGTTACACAGCTATTTAATAATAATAAATTGTTAAACCGACAATAAAATGTACAACTACAGCACAGCATGATATTGATAATACAGTCAGCACTACAAATAAAATTAAAATAATGAGATAATATTTGCGGTTAGCCAGTGTCACCGGGAGACATAACTATTTTAGGTTGGGAGCGAAGGCCAAGAGGAGGGCGAGAGATTGAACAAACTTTTTTTAAACACAGAGATTGGGTTGAAAAATCTTTATAGCAACTGCCTCAACTATGCTTAACAACCGAAGACGTACCGACCTAGGGAGTTGAGGTGGCACCTTGTGTACGATTGTAACTGCTGAATTTCACTTTGCAATTGACTTTACGACTCCTCTACCTAACCACTTTGGACAATGTTTCAGAAGACGACGTTGGGTTTATCAAGTCGTTCTATCTATGTAACTGTCTCCATATGAACAGTCAAATTTATAAATGCACATTGACGTTGTCAGACACGGTAGCTTATCCTTCACCTGCGTTGGAATTATTATACAACGAGTGGCGAATTTTAAACACAATGTTGCTGCAAAGAATGTTTTAGCTATTATTTTTCGAAGTTTCGATGCCGGTTATCCAGTTTTTGCGTTTCCTTTAAATATTAAAGTCATGTATATACTTACATTAATAATCCCCATTGGGACATAAAAAATCAGAATTCAGTCACGAAAATTCTCTTTTCGACGATTTCATCTTCATAGCTAAACAATCGTATATATACAAACCAACGATAGAAAATTAATCTGATGCTTGCTAGTGACTTGCTACAAGATAGAGTTTCCTGGAGTTCTAGTGAGAAGTCGTTACCAGTGAGGTCCATCTAGTCACGTGTGAGGATGGATGTCTCACCGACGACATTAGTTGGGGTCGCGCTAAAATCACGAATTGGTAGAAGTTAGAATTCATGAGCCATTGAATCGGGTCCCAGTGGCTGAATGGTATACCAGCTAGCTTGCCTTGTAACCGGAAGGTCCTGGACTCGAACTCCAGTGGGTGTGTACTGCCGATGATTCCCAAACTAGGATGAAACCGCTGTCCAGTGCTCCCTGGTTTTCAATGGTTCTCTAACTAATATCAATCTGTGATCAACTCGTAAAAACAAAACTAATCCTTACAAACCAACTATAGAAAATATGAATGAATAACTAAATAAGTAGAGGTCAACCTAAATTTCAATAGACACGTGTGAAATAGATGATCGAAAAATAAAGTACATTCAAAAATATGAATATGTGAATATGATATGACGGAGAAATGAGGTGAGTGAAACGTTGTCAAAGTACTAGACTAGATCAAATGTTAAAATATGATAACATAAAGTGAGATGAAACAAAACAAAAATGGAAGGATAACAAAGTTTTTTATCTGAATTACATAATAAAATCAAGACCATGGTAACGAAAGAGATCGTACAAATTGTTTTTGTACACAAAGTTCTGGCTTTATGTTATGTATTGCTAAAGCCTCTGCTATACAAAGCAAATGCACTCGTGTCCCTTTCGGCAAACTTTGTAGACCGTAGACCATCTGATAAACAATCAGTGTCTACGCAGATGACAAATGAGGCTCAATGCAAGGACTTTGAAAAGCTTTGACGAGTGGGTCGTCGAAAGCAATATGGAGATCTTGTGAGGAGATGAGAGATTATGAGAAATCGTGGAGCTGAAGCCCTACATTCCACTCGGAGCCCAACGGAAAAATAATAATAATCAACAATCTAGAATTGGATCTGACGTCATTGATTCAACTGTTCGCCTAACTGCATACATTTACATAAACTGTGTGTGTTAATGAACCCTCCCAAATAGACAATGTTTCAGTAAATTACAACTACTCTCCTGCTGTCAGTGTATGATATAATGATGCTCATAATATAACGCAAGTGGGGTTGGATTCTAACCCACACCCATGGGGTGAATTTCACGTAAATCTACCAGTAGGCTACAACTCTTGAAATGTACACATTTGAGTGTGGACAGACAGTATACAACTAGAAGACAACTTCATCTTACATAAGCATATACACTGTCGTAAATATTTACGAGTAAAGAGTGTCTTGTTAAAGTTTTCAAGTATCATTTTAGTCAGAATGTTGTATTTGAATAGTTTCAAGTATATTAATTTAAGTCAATAATTTTAAGTTACTTTAATTACTTACAGAAGAGTGTATATTTAAAAATTGCCGCAGCCGACCAACCGTAGACAATTGGTTCAATCAAAATAGTAGGCGAAAACCAATAAGCAAGCAGGAAGACTATAGCAACAGCCTAAAAAAAAACCAAACGATATTCACATTAGTAAAATAAATATCAAGCAACAACTATTAACAATATTATCTTGATTGTATGTACATTTGTAATGAAGTATACCCTAAAGTATTCCATCCATAATAAGTAAACAGACAAACAAACTAATTAATTAATTAGCAGAGTATAACAAACAAAAAAAACTAGAACTCTCCAGATAGTCTGTAAACAGATAAAACGAACCAATAGGGTATGCTTTCTATATGAAATGCATAGATGTAGACCGATCTCATTTCAGTAAATAAAAAAAAACTAATGTCGGTGTGTTGACACACTCACGTAAAATCGAATCTTATTGTCATGTGATAAAGATATACAATCAGGCCAACCTAATGCGAATTTGATGATTTGAAAAAAACACACAATATATTTAGATGTTTTGTATACTTTTGGGTGAACAATTCAGTTGATCTAAAGATTTCAGTAGGTGTACAAAAAGCAAAGTGGACATTTTATTATATACTAAATGAAAATGGTAGAAGGAAAGCTAATGTAACTCTGATATTCGAGGAAAAAGAGAAATAGGAGCCTGAAGATGTAAAACAAATGAAATTTACTTCGCGATAGAATTGTGTAACGCTATATCATGAGTTGCAGTTTTGTTTCTTTTCCTTCACTTTCCCCAATGGAACATAGGGCTTCAAGCTTGTGGCTTGAAGTTTCTGTATCAGTGCTTATTTTACAGGATGGGGTTGCTAGCCTCGTGCCCAACCTTTCCTCTCCACCAGCATTATTTCTTGCTTAGTGAGGTAAAGGAGTGCGCCGGCCGGGGATCGAACCCCGGACCATGTGCATGGTCGGCGAGTGCCCTAACCGCTATGCCACCGACGCACACGAGTTGCAGTGATCATATAAAATTACTATGTAGGATAACTTCACACATTTATCCCCCTTTATGAATTTGAAAAAAGCAAGAACAACAGTTCATGCATCATCATTTATTACGTTAGCGTCTCATCATCTGCTTACAGCCTAAATAAATTATTCATTCAGTTCATACAAAAAAAGGTTTTAACATACTTGCAAATTTTACATGATGTCAGTTGACAGGGGGTTCGAGGACTAGTGAACAAGCAGTTCAAGTTTAAACAAAGTAAATGTATGCATGCACACAATGGTGAAGGAGTTACATAGTGAAGATGAGAGGTCCGTAAGATGATGAGTAACTAATAAATTGTGCAATAATAAACTGAGTTCAACTCAAATCACAGAAAGAAAAGACATACGAAATTACATTATATCAAAGGAGGGTGAGGTTAAAGCCAAGGATTACGTGATCAAATGAAAGAGACAGTAAGGACATCCAGTTACCAGGGCAAGGAAAGACTGAAAATTGCTTCTTTCTCAACACATAAATTGGGTTTCAGGCGTTTGACAGAGATTGCTTCGGCAAACCTGGGGAGAATTGAGCTTGATAATTTTAAAGGAATTTGCGATTTCCACCGTCATGACCTGCATCAAGGGGAAGTCTGGTAGTGGCACATTTTGAGCGTTTGTTTTCTTGAGACGTAGGCTTTTTGGTACATGATCAGAAAACCGGAGGCGAGCCCTTCTTTCTATTCTGCCAATGTAACTGCACTCACAGATACAAGTAGAATTGTATGCACAGTTGGAGTTGTCATGAGAAGGGTATCTGTCGACTTTTGATTGCGCCGAAGAGCATGTTGTTCGATACACAGGAACCAACTGAGCTGCAGGATAGGCCTTGGCTAGTGAGATATTCAACCTTCTGTTGCTGCAATATTTCCATCTTTAAAATCGAGTTGAATGAAGACAGACCTTTTTCCCACTGTGATTTGTTTCATGTTTGAGCCATCACATTTTCCATATTTGTTGATGAATCTCTGAGGGTAACCGTTCTTTTCAACAATCTTTTCGAGAATCATAAACCACCACTAGGTCTTTACAACCTGATGCATCCTTTGTCAACTTACACGACCCGTCGAGGAAACGATGGCTAGGCCTGCACGCATTACACATGTCGTAACCATCTCTATTGGTGTAACTTCACAACCTCGTCGACTGATTCTCACTGCTTACCTAGCACTCGACCGATGCCTAACCTCAATATTACTCACCGTGTTATACCACCATCTAACACGGGAGATAGGACGCAGACACCTATGATGCAGGACAGCCAGCCAGTCAGGCTTTTCATGTCTTCCGCTTTCACTGACCATGTCTCACAGCCATGAAGGATGACAAAGCGAACTGACTGCTGAGCAGTACACAGCCCGTTTGGTCGACAGCCGGCCGGATATCACATCCACGCCAGAGACGGTGCAAGTTGGCATATGAGAACCGAGCCTTCTGTATGTGTTGTGCGATCAATATCTTGTCAGAGTATTCACGTAGAAGGACTATATCATCTGCAGATTCGGAATCAACGAGATTATTATTCACTGATGGTAACAAGTCAATCCATGAGTCACTGAAGTCAATTAGAGGTAAGTGATAAAATTTAATAGAAATGGGGACATTCGGGCATACCTGACGGACACCACTAATTATCACCACTTCAGATGACAACTCACCGTAAGCCCTCACCTGGCTGGCTGCATGAGTTCGAGTAAAGTGAGTGCCTTGATCAGTGAGATGTATTTTCTCGGTATTCCTTTTACAGCCAAGCATTGCCAGAGTACCTCTCGGTCGACAAAATCGAACGACGCCTTCAGGCCAAGGAATCTGACAACTGTTGTACCCCGTTAAGTATACCTTTGTTCCAGAATATGTCGAAGGGTGAAGATATGATCAATACACCCTCTTCCTCGTATAAAGCCCACCTGGTTCTTTCGTTCTAGTCCCTCCCAAGCACCACTCAGTCTACACATGATTATTGAGTCTGGATCTTTAGATACTACAGTGGTGAAGGTAATCCCCTCTGTGATTATCATAGGAAGACTTGTCTCTCTTCGTGTATGTCGGGATAATCAGTGACTTACATCAACTCGACGAGACTTCCTTTGATTCCCAGACTATGTCTAATACCTTAGTTAACGCAGACAGTATACTGTCTCAACGTCCTTGGACATCTCTGGAGTCATCTGGTCATGTCCAGCTAATTTACCTCGCTTTAGGTTAGAAATAACTTTTGTAACCTTAGTTAGAGACAGAGGTCCGGTGTTTATATCCCATTCAGGGAGGCATTGGATGCTCAATAAGTTGAGCGTGGTTGTAATTCAGTTAAATCGCTCATCAAAATGTCCTCCCCCCTCTCCCCTCAGTGTTAAAGTTATCTATCCTAAGAGCTAATTATGGCACCAACTTTCGGAGATTGTTCTAATTATCAATTTGCCTTTTGCCACCTGTTTCCCGGATACGTCTAAATTGTTGTCCTCACATCAGACATTTACAAAGAAAACAGTGATTGATAACTGCTATTATGACGTGGTAGTGTCAATGATCCAAAGAAGCATATGGAGTGGGATGATTGTTTCTGTAGGTCATATTGAGGCATCAAGGTATGTTGAACAGCAGTGTAAAGATAAAAACAGTCACTCATATGATAAAGAGCTTGCAGTAAAGTGGCAGTCTGTGGCCGAAATCGTAACGCTGGTGAACAGGGAGCAACAGATGACAGATGGTCATTCGACATTAGTCTGTTTGTTGTATATATCACTCAGAGAAACAGTATTATTTACTGGATGACATTTCGAACACAATTTACTGCTCATAATCATACCAATGGTAACAACTGGAATTACAGTACCCAGGTTTTACACACATATTAACCAGAAAGTTAGCTAGGCTTCCTGTCAGTCAGGAAACGTCACGGTAAATCGACCCCAAAAACTATACATTCCGACTTGACCTAAAATGGTGATTACGCAAGGGACACCTTTAAACAAGGTTCACATCCCATTATGGGTAAATTTTATTTTGATAGAGTCTCACAGTGTTATACAGTAATATTTACTGATCAGTAAATATTACTGTATAACACTGTGAGACTCTATCAAAATAAAATTTACCCATAATGGAATTACACTCTACCACAGTGCCCAAGTTTTATTCTTATATCAAGGTTCACATCCTTGGAAATCCATAATCACGCAAAGCCAATCCATTTTGTGTGGATTGCTCAAAAAATAAGTCAGCTCACACTAATAAGGCACCCGGAAGTACTAACTGATCATTCTTCCAACAGTACATAGTACTTATTTATTTTTGTTATTTCTACATTTCTAACCCCCAATTGCACAATATGTCAATCTTCTCAGTATTTATGATGCTAATTTGTTTGAGTTTTATCCGTCCCCCTGTTTATTATGGCATTTTAATTCCTTATTGTAATTTTATTAATTTGATCCTTAACCGGAAATTATTCTGGAACTTTCCCATCTATTTGTTATAAATACACGAATGTACAGACTAGTTGATGACTTCGTCAAAAAGAAAATTTTCTTCGCTGCAACCGTCTTTTTAATAATACGTATTTATTACTCACGCTATTCATCTCACACTACCTTAATTTTCACTATTGTTTCCAACTTTTAATTCTACTCCGCATACAATTCATTGCCTTTCTCTTAATCCTCCTTTTACCACTACTTATGCTCAATCTGTTATGACCACACTTACCACTGCTTAGAACAAGCATAATTACGGGCAACCAGCACTTGACGTATTTCTTGACCTGAAAGTGGCATTTGATTCTGTCGACTGAGAGGTGATGTGGCAATGTTTGGCCGTAAAGGGGGTGTCAAGAAAGTATATCGCAGTAATCGAGGCACTCTACTCAAACACACAGGGTGTAAAGTGGTCAGACATGCTGACAACTTCACTTATTTCAGAAGTTGAGTCAGCCCCGATGAGCTGATTTCTGATGGAATCTCAGAAAGGATACAAAAAATTTCATGTAGCATTTCCCAACTTACATCATCTTTGGAGTAAAAGTGATATCCGGCTATCGATCAAAGGACGTGTGTACTATGCAGTAGTTCGCTACGTCTTTCTATATGGGTGTAACACGGCCATTAAAAGTGGAAGACCTCTATCTTCCGTGTTGAGCAGGATAAGGTAAGTAACACTGATGTCACACGTTAGTCGAGATAGGAAGGGTAACCGATCAAGTTGCGGAAATATATCGATTGAGCTGGCTAGGACACCACTCCTTTCCTCGACAAACAATGTTAGCTGACATAGGATTAAGGTGGGAAGATAGTTAGGGGTGGGTCAAAGCAAAACCTGGCATCGGTCTATGAAGTGTTCGGTAGTTAGTTTGAGTCGCGTAGGGAGGTATAGAGAGTTTGTTCGGGTCCTGGGGGGTCCAAGAACCAGTGACTGTAGTTGATATGGCGAAGACACATTCACTCTTTATGGTCTACCATACCCACTAAATTGTCATGTTATTCCACGTTATTATTCTTTCTCCCGTGGAAATCTGTTCATCATATTTCTTCCGAATTTCCTTTTTTCCTTTCTCTACCATTGTGTGCTATATGAAGTGTCGCAACTTGAACTGGTGCACTTCTGTGCAAAGTTCTATGTTGAAACTCAGTCAGTAAGATGTTCATCCACACGGTCATAGATGTGTGACTATGTGAGCGTATTTAGGCCGATCCCGCTGTAATTATATCTGTAAGATTTCTTTTTTCTAGTTGTGCGATGGAAGGAATAATTAATTCAATATTCATGTAGCTTTCGAGGGTCTGGAAGATAGTAACAGATAAATATATCTACATCATTATGAACAATTTGAGACATGCAATCAGGAGTCTGTAACCATTTATTATTACGATCCGAAGGACTTTAGCTACATCTGCTACACTTCCAACTAATCCTACCTCACTTAATACTATCTCATTACTAACTTACCCTGATCAATAATTCTTCATTACACTGCCTAAGCACTACTAAAACAAGTCATGTTGCTCTAAATTGTTTAAGATTATTTTCGCAAATATAAATTCTCATTTATGCATGAATCGAATGGTGGGCAATTGAAATCCAGTTGTGGACCACTTGGTCGGTCGGTCGGTTTTCGACATAGAACTTTGCACATATGTGCGGCAGTTCAAGTCGCCACACTCCATGTAGCACACAAAGCAAGAAAAGAAAGTAGGAGAAAGGCATATTAGAGACAGTAAACAGAGATGTGAGACAAAGGAATAGTAAGTCACGAGGAGTGGATACATCTGCGCCACTGAGAACGATTTTCAGCCATATCACCAATTGTTTCCAACCATTGGTTTTTACCGTCCCGAGGACCCCAACCAGGAAGTCTACACCTTCCTACGTGGCTTAGACTAACTGTTGTGGATTTCATTGACTGGTGCCATGTTTTCGTTTGACCGCCGCTAGCTCTTTGCCAACCTGACCCTATATTACCTAACATTGCCCATTGTCGAGGAAGACGATGACTAGGCATGCAAATGTAACACATGTCCTAACCATCTCAGTCGATGTAATTTCACTTGGACTGCTTCTCAAAGTTTTCTGTACATTATAGTTGTCTTCCATGAGAAAGTATACAAGTTCGATCCCTGCAGAGAATCGTTTCACTTAACATAGCTGTTTTAGGACCCGTTTCCTTAAAATAACATGGATGACACCTTTTCCATTTCGTTGTTCACTACTGTGCCGGGTCGTTCCAAAGACGTTTAATCAGTCTACGTTTAAGCACCTTCCACTCATCCTTATGTTTAGAACGCTCTAAAATCAGTCTCAACACATCCAACAGTTCAGGTGAGGTTACCGTAATCCACAAGCTTTTACCAATCTACGGTTGGAGGTGCTAAATTTATTCAGCATTATTTCTACAATAGATTAGATATAGTGCTAGGATTCTTGAAATGACTGTTGCTGGCATACATATTTGAATCTCTCATTAACTCAGTCTTCAAAGCATACTTGATACCCACGCTTGTCCAGGGAATAGGAATGTTAGGGTTGTACCACTATTTCATTTCAACATCCATTCAGTTACAGACAACCTCAGACGCACAAACAAATGCACGGTCAGAGTAGACACAAGTGTTTTAGAAGAAACTGTAATCTCCTAACAATAAATCACTGCCACCTTTTTTTAGTGAGTATTGTGTTCATACTCAAAAAAATTGATTGGTTAACACCTCCGCAGTGTTGACGTCCACACCAGTTGTAAACCGGACACCCAAAGGTTTCGCGTGTATTCGTGTTTCATGTCCAGCATAACACAGATGTACTTGTGTACGAAATAAAGCATGCCCAGTGCTTATGCATGCGTTCCAGAAGAAGTAACTTGTCTGTGTTCATTGTTGACTTGATATCAACGATTACCGAGTTACAAAAGAAATGACCACTTTGTTAGTTCGTTGACATTATACACAGTAAATGTACTCTAAAGTACTTTCAAGATTAGATCAGTTTTCCTACTTGTGCAATCGCTAATCTAACTACCTTTGAGTAGTCTTCTACCACCGAAAGTGGAGAACTAATGATAGAAACCATTTATTAATTTGTCTGAATTGCAGCCAATGAATGCTTAACCAGAGACTAATAAAAGGCATCAACAGATATCACGATCTTCACTTGTCATTATAGACCTATTTAGCCGGATAGTATACAGAAGATTGTCCACGTCGTTCTATTTGGGTAGCAGGTTTTTCCCTCTAGAGTCCACAAGAACTATTCAGATAACTACATGAAACTCACAGGATGGATAAGTTTTTAAAAAAAAATCTGTTCGTCGTGAAAAGAAATAGACTTTGAAAACCAAATGAATGGTATAGTTATTTGTTGAATTACTTATTTTCCCAACTGTTTTTCATCATAGAAATTACAAGACAGAGGAATCTCTTTGGTGTTCTGAATTATCACATTCAAGTGTTTACTGACAATCCGTATGCGTTCATACAGGGCATGTGTGTTGTCTTTAAACACAACGTATCGTGTGTTAACCAAGCATATGTGATTTCCGCAAACATCGTCTGATGAGAATCAGAATAGCTAGTTGTCATGCCTTTTTGTTTTATCATTAAATTAACGTAAATTATTTAGTTTACGAGATTGTACACGACTTCATATGCACGCATAAATCATATTAACACATGTTTAATATATAAGTGCAGTAATGATATAGTTATTTTTATTAGAATTTTTCCCACGATAAGTTTAGACTATATTGTTATTGCATGTTTACAATGTGATATACTAGAGTCTTATTCTTTTTGTTTTAATAAAAGTTTCAAATGATCTGTAATGGCTTTTTTTCTAAAATGCTAATGCACACTGATTCAGATTGGAAGTATTGAAAAGAAGAGGAGTAGACAATGTAAGAAGAAAGAACTCCGAAAGTACAATTATGGGTTATTTTATTCTTTTTTTGGTAGAATAACTTCATCTAATAAATACAAGTTCAGAGTTCAGATCATATAAGAGAAAAACCCACACAGAACACAAGCAGTATCTTTTGTATAACTCAAGATGCCTAAAAACTAAGTTATTTTAGTTAGACTATCATGTTCACCGCTATGATAGACTGCTTTGCGAGAAATACAAACGCAAAAATGTAAATCTTGAGTTTCATATTATATTTGTGAAGAAATATACACTTCACTGATTACTGACAACTGCTGTCTTTGAATCAATGTTCAATTTCGATTAGGCGGTGCCATGAAAAATGGCAAAAAACGTCACTTAACCCAGTTATAACCATTAAGTGACCATTAAGACACTTGCAAACACGGGAATGATGACATACTCCGGCAAAGCTCAGGAAAAGCATATACATTCCATTTCTGATAGCAGTATACAATATGCTTGGTTTACACAATATGCTATCTTCAATAAGTTTTGTTCTACATTTAAACTGAATCATGTAAATGAAATAATGAAAACAACTATCTCAAAAAAAACTAATATGACTGTCGTAAGTATGTATCAGTTCGCAATGATTGGTAGATTTAATGTATACAGCCCTGAAATGCTGAAGACTGTAGATGCCAGTCATCTGACAACCTATACTGGATGAAAGGAATGATTTTGTAAGTTTTACCATACTAGAAAAGTTGGCTGGATAGCAGTTAGTTTCAAAGCAGTTACCATCATAAGGTAAGTTTACTTACTCCATGTGGAAACTATGATGTCGCAATCGCACTATTGACGGACAGGGGCGTAAGAGAGATAATGTGCTTGCCTCGAGTAACTAACAAACCAGCTACGTACTAACTTCACACTGTGGAGAGCAGAATTTAGAAAACAGTCGGTCACAAAGGCTGTACATCTCTATTTGCCCTACGGTGGTTCTCAGTCGAGGGTACAGCACGAGACTTCAAGCTTGTTATGTGACCGGATTCAAGCACTTGTCTTTTAGACTAGGGGGGTCACGGTAGTCTAGGAAGAAATAAATGATGTGAAGATTCTGGTAGTAGTAACTGCTTTGTGAGTGAAGGAACATCTGTCTGAACTCAGACCATACATTACTATATTTAAGTGTATGCCTACGGCTGAATGAATGCATAAAACAAACAGCTGAGAGTTCTATACGGATCTAGATCTTTAATCAGCACATAATGTCTGAAAGTTGGAAGAGGATAACCAAATGTATCTTTAAATATAGATTCTTTTTATTTGCAGAAAGATGTTCAAGAGATACTTAAGCTGTAATGGAAAAAACAATGTAGCTCAGTTTTCCACATTATCTTAGAAGTGAAATGCGAATGTATGCAACTGAATTTAGGAACGTGCTTACTGTAAGCCAATTAGTTATCCAGATCATGATAATGTAATCACATACATTCTGAATATAACACACTCACAAAATTCTGTTAGAAAAATCAGCATATGAAGACAAATAAAACAAAGGTTACTTACTGTTTGGCTGGTGTCAAAAGTCCACGGTAAAAACAAGACACCCGTTATGTATTTCTCCCAATGAGATAGTAGAAAACTAACAATCAGTACCCACTGTCCGATAAACATCTCACGTGTAGTATACACATCACCTAACAGTGAGAACATTGATCCAGGAAGAAAAAGACACACCCATGAATCACATCCATGATCAAATAATTCTCCAAGAGCTGATGATGACTTAGTTCGACGAGCTTGTTTACCATCTGTACCATCTAAAGTGAGGAGTTAGCACAAGTTTATAGTGAAAAACTAACCTAAAGTATGAGCAATAAACACAAGGAAAGATGTGACAAGCCAAACCCAAACAGGAACACTATTAGTTGCAGAGAAGTTTGGATTATAAAAACACGTAAGGAAATAATGTGCAACTGTTAAAAGGAAACCAGTGAATGTTATCAGATTTGGAGCTAACCAAACAGGATAAAACTATAAGTGAATTCAAGAATTCATTGGTTAATATACAATTCATACTTGTGATAACCAGTTCCAAAATGGATGCATAATATATGTTGAAAATGGAGAATTATCAACACATGAATATTTATAAGTTTTCAACCCGGATATCATCTTGTCTGATAGTTGGTGCATTTTTTTCCTGAAACTTTTTATTTCCACCCAAATTAATCAGTAGTCAGTTTGGCAGTGAAGGCTGAAATAAAAAAAACAATTTGAAAAATACATAATATGGCAATAAGTCCTTTTATAAAAGGGTTAATGTAGTAATAACACTGGTAAGAATGAGAAAAGACAAACAGATAAAACAGCAATCTAAATCACGACACATTGAAACAGCACACCAACCAGACAAAAGACCAGGATCAGTTATAATGATACATTCACATAAAAAAAAACAGAACCGTAAGAATTCCACTTCAAATACATCTGAATAGTTCACTAGAGAAAGGAAGCAGAGATTGGCCAATATCGAAGGTTATGAGAATAGTTAAAACAGCTAAGTTAACGTCAGTATACATGAGGAGGGTCTCGAGAAGTAGTTCAGTAATTTCAACAGCCATTGCCAAATAATGTTTTCTGATGAACAGATATCCCCAACCTGTCAAATGTTTTCAGAAACTGGCAGTACATTTCGATTTGGTCGCCTAGTTTTCTGCCATCTCACTCCAGTTAACAGCATAGTGAGAAAAACAGTGATCGAGATCTATAAAGTATACTCCAACTCTCTTAGCGGGGACGTATTTACAGTACTATATAGTGATTTGCCATGGAAAACTATAGGAAGACTTTAAGCCGATTAGAGACTTCATAACACACGAAGGTGCAAAAACACTCAGCATTGTGGGTAACAGTCAAGCGGTCAAAATGGAGTAAATACTCTGGATGGTAACTTTGTAACCTGGTGATCCTATACTGGCTTATGGGTGTGTTAACTTGTCCCTCCATGTTTGCCCAGAGAGAAGTAGGGGTGCGAGGTAGACCATTTTTATGAGTCATGTGTTAAGACAGAGGATGAGTGGACTGCGCCTACCTCGAAATGCCCCTAGAGGTCACACAATTATAGTATAAGTAAGAATTTTCGGTGCTCATCAGCAGAAAAAGGGACATGGAAGGTTCACTTAAAAGAGTTGGGAAATCCTGATAGTGCACCAGGATCAAAAAAAAAACAATGATATGTGGACCGATTTTTGAAGCCAGTAAGAGTGGAAATGTAGCTCCACAAGTCCCCCTATCGTCTTGTCTGTTAGACTTCAAGCTTAACACCTGGGTAATGGCCCCTTGAAATAACCGTTGGCTTTAGTCTGAGCGTCCGATCAATATTTTAGTATCAGCATGAAATATAGAGTAACAATTGAATAGAAGGCCCCAATTACAGAGGATTCTTAGAAGCCTGGGACTTAAGAACATCTTCAATCAACAGACATAATGAAATAGAAAACCAAAACACGTAGTTCAACGAAGTCTCTTTTCGGTGAATTCATTCACTTAGCTCTACAATCGCAATTATACATAATTATTTTTGTGTATATATTAGCTGTCAGACAAGAATAAAAATTGGTTAGGGTTGTTGTTCACGTCATCAAAAGACTTCAGAGAATGTGATGAATAACTAAATTGTAACTAGGGGGTGAAGATTAGTATACGAGTAATCGTGATGAGTTGTCAAAAATAGTTGCCACTGTTAGTCAATGCATAGAAGAAGTTGAATTAGTGTGTTATGGTTGCGTAACAAGATGAATAATTTAATGAATGAGTTTTGATTAGGATGTACATAGAAACGAAGGAGAATATGGAATTAAGAGTTGTGGAGAAATATAAGAGTTGTAATGAGTTAGAAAAGCAAGCATACAAACATCAAGTGAGTAGAAATCAACACAGTTGTTGCCATGATAGCAGGAGTGGTTGAATGATTTTCTTTTGTAAGCATAACTCTAGTTTTTCCAGCTGAATGGCTAAAGCTTCAGCAATATAAAGGATACGAAAGCGTATCGCCTTTGGTAGGTTATTCTTGACTGTAGATTACTTTGAAGGAGGCGTTTGTTGAGATGGAATAGTCAGTTTTGACAAGGTATCCAAGGATCACACTCTCTATAGAGCCACTACTACCACTACCTACCTTCTGAAATAGAACAAAGTGAACGACAGTCGAACATAGGGAAATTCATATATCAGGTCCACAAAATAATGAATACTAATGCAAGTGAACAATAGTCTTAGAAAATCTCCAAAGACAATCTATCACGTTCAAGTTCATTAACTGACTGACTGGTTTCAACGTAGAACTTTGCACAGATGTGCAACAGTTCTAGCTGCAAGAATTCACTTAGCACACAAAACAAGAGAAGAGAGTAAAAAGATATTTAAAACAGAGATATGAGACAAAAAGAACAGTAATATGGAAGAACAATAGTTTTACTGGATATTATAAACCACAAAGAGTGAATGCATCTGCATTATGCATTGAGAACGATTTTGAGCCATATCACCGATTGTCTCAAGCCATTGGTTTTTACCGTCCCGAGGACCCCAACCAGTCAGGTAATCTACACCTCCCTACGTGACTGGCTGTAACTAACTGTTGTGGATTTCACTGACTGATGAAGCCATGTTTCGGTTTGACCATCACTAGCTCTTTTCCAACCTGATCCATCCTTTGTCGACTTACACTACTCGTCAAGGAAGGCGACGGCTATGTATGAGTAACATATGTCGTAACCATCTCAATCGGTGTAAATTCACAACCTCGTCGATTGATTTCCCCTGCTTACCTAGCACTCAACACCTAAACTTAATGCTGTTCATCCGATTCCATCACCTAACATGGGAGATAGAACACATACACCTATGATCAAATACAGCCAGTCAAGCTTTCCGTATCTTCCACTTTCAATGGCCAGGTCTAACAGGCATATAGGATGACAGAACGAACTGACTGCTGAGCAATACCCAGCCCCTTTGTCTCTGTCTGTCTGGATTCAACATAGAACTTGGCACTGAAGTGCAGCAGTTCGAGTTGCACGTTCCAAATAGCACACAGGTAGACAAGAAGATGAGTGAAGAGAACCAAATAGAGTTTTGACAAGTATAAGAGTGAAACAGAATGAGTAATGGTAGAAAGGAATATGAAAGATTACAGAGACTGAATACATCTGCGCCATTGACAACGATTTTGAGCCATGTCACCTACTGTCTCCAGCCATTGATTCTTAGAGTCCCGAGGGCCCCAACCGGAAGTCTGCATCTCCCTACCTGACTCAGTTTAACTGTCAGAGATTTCATGGATGTTTTTGTTTGGCCAACACTTACTTTTTTCCAACCTGCACCTGTATCAGCTAGTAATGCCCGTCGGGGGAGGCGATGGTTAGGCATGCGCAGCACGTGACCTAGCCATCTCAATCTATGTAACTTTATAGCCTCTTCGATTGATTTTCCCTCTTTGCCCAACACTCTACGCCTAACGTCAACATTACTTACCTTATTATGCCACCTGACGTGAGAAAGAGATCGTAGACATCTATGATCAAAAACAGTTAACCTTTTCATGTCTTCAACTCGTATCGGCCATGTTTCAGAGCCATAGAGAAGGACGGAGCGAACTGCTGAGCAGTACAGACGCCCCTTGGTTGATAGTCGGATGTCACGCCTACGCCAGAGATACGTAGGTTGGCGTATACCAAATGAGCCTTCTGTATCCGTTGTGTTGAGATTTCATAAGCGATCAACCCGCTGACACTGCCTGATGCAACTTCCAAAACAAGTAAAGTGGTCAACACGCTCAGTGACCACTTCACTCCCTATCTTTAGGCTAGGAATCAATGTTTTCGAGTCCTGTAGCATCATCTTACATTGTGCGGGAGCGAATTGCATATCAAACATACTCAGACTGCAGCTCAAGGTGTTGAGAAGGCTCTGCATTTTGTCAGAATCTTCACCTAGAAGGACTATATAATCTGTATATTCGAAGTCAAGGAGATTACTCTCTGACAGTAACAAGTCTGTCCTGAGTCTTCAAAGTCAGTTAGGGTTAAGTCTATTAGTACATCTATGATGAAATTAAACAGATATAGGGTCGGTGAGAATCTCTGATGAACACCACTGGTTGCCACCACTTCAGACAAAGACTCTCACCTCGCTGACTGCATGAGTTCGAGTAGAGTGGCTTGATCATTGAGATGCATTTTCTCGGGGTTCTCTTCACAGCCAAACATCGCCATAGTATCTCTCGGTCGACAAAATCGAACGACGCCTTCAGGTCAAGGAATCTGACGACTGTTGTACCCCGTTAAGTATACCTTTGTTCCAGAATCTGTCGAAGAGTGAAGATATGATCAATACACCTTCTTCCTCGTATAAAGCCCACCTGGTTCTTTCGTTCTAGTTCCTCCCAAGCACCACTCAGTCTACACATGATTATTGAGTCTGGATCTTTAGATACCATACTGGTGAAACTAATCCCCCCTGTGATTATCATAGGAAGACTTGTCTCCCTTCGTGTATGTCGGGATAATCAGTGACTTACACCAACTCGACGAGACTTCCTTTGATTCCCAGACTATGCCTAATACCTTAGTTAACGCAGACAGTGTACTGTCTCAACGTCCTAGAACACCTCTCAAGCCATTCAATCAGGTTCCGCAGCTTTGCTTCGTTTCAGATTAGTGACAGCCTTAGTAACCTTAGTTAGAGAGAGAGAGAGGTCCGGTGTTTATATCCCATTCAGGGAGGTGTTGGATGTTTGATGTGTTGACCGTGGTTGTAGGCCAATTGAATTGCTTCTCAAAATGTTCTTTCTAACGTTCTAGTCATCTATCCTGGGAGCTAATCATGGTGCCATTTTTTTCAGATATTTTTCACTTATCATTTGCCTTTTACCATCTGTTTCCCTGATAAGCCTAAATAGTTGTCTGATATCACCAACTGCCGATGCCTTTTTCATCTCTTTTGCTTCTGTCCCCCACCACTGTTTACGGTTGTTACTGAAGCTTCTTGTTAGTTTGCGTTTGAGTAGCTTCCGCTGCACATCATAATTGGAGCTCGCCGGAATCAGTCTACTTGCGTCAATCAGTTCGGATGAGGTAGTAGAAATCTAATGGCTCTTACTAACTTTTGGTTTTAGGTTATTCAAAACCTTAATAGTTGTGTCTATAGTTAACTGTTGGTTGTGCTATGCTCTCTCAGGGGGAATCTTGTTTACCATCTCAGATACCTGTTTCGCTATTTCTTCCCTAAATAGGGGCTCACAGTCACGATCTAGTTGGGGACGTAACTGCTTTGCTACTAGGAATTTTTATGTCCGTTTAATCGTAAGCATAAACGTGAGCGAAACACGGAGTGATCGGAGTTTACGCACGTGTTCCAGAGGGAGAGGCGGTCGTCTACTGATCCTCGCCAACGATACCCTACAACTATATGGTCTGTTTGAGTCTAGCGTTGATTTGGTGATGGAGGTGTCTCTCTTTGTGCCTAAAGTTAGTGCTGACTAGAAACAGATGATTATCTGAACAGAACTGTAGAAGACGACCACCGTGGTCCGTTTGTCTGCAGGGAACTCCATACGTACCACCTACATACTTCCCAGTCTGGTACAACTTCCCTACTTGGGCATTAATGTTGCCTGCCAAAACAATCATTTTCGGGCGTTTAGCTTTTTGCATCAAATTAAACAATTTCAGGTAGAAGTCATCCTTTAGTTCACCTGAACTGCAGAGTAAGCGGAGACTATGAAAAGACAATGATGGGTAACGCCGTCTTTCCTTCTTCTAACAGACCTGTTTAGACGGACTGCACACATAAGATTTGATCAAGACGTGATTTTCTGCCCTAACACTCAATGCCATCCCTACACCTGCAAGTCCTCAAGTTCATTGAGACATCTAAGGAGAATTCCAAAGTCACCTTATCCCAAAATTAGCACTGAAGATGCTGTCTAGGGAGACAATGAGGGCCTTGCGTCTAAACTATCCAGCTCAGAGAACTCAGCTACACTACACCCAACAAGACTTTACACTCACAACTTACCACTCATGTTGACTTCATGAATCAGGTATTCGACAACAATTCATTTTATTGTTATTCTCATAAACGAATAGTCTCATATTTTCTTCATCATTTCCGCCTTCGGTATTATCTCTACTTTTATCAACCGTTGGTTATCACTTAAAATCTTAGCCTGTATGTAGTGTTTTGAGTCGTAGTGTCACTATTCGAGTTATCTAGTGTCAGAGTGGCAATAAATGCTAAAGAATATGCTACACTACGCCACCGGATTACCATTAGTAACCGTTTATTTGCTTTTAGGTTAGCTTATGCTACAGTAAGAAACAACTAGTCAGAAAAGAGTTGTTTTCGTCATCTGCCTGTACATTGGTGGATTGCAGTTCGAAAGCAATGACGAAAAAGTTTTTTCAGCAGCTGAACGACCTCAGCTAAGTACCAGGCACATCGTGATACTATCTGCAGACTTAGGAAAATAATTTAGTTAGCTTACAAAGCCAATATATACTGTTTTAAATCACAGTTCTTCGTGGTCGGTAAACCCCTACCCACCTAAAGAAGGCAGACGCCCAAAAGAAACTTCAATTACCTACGTGTAAAATACCAACTGTTGTCGTGCTCACACACTTTATAAGATGCATCTAAAATAAATTCGCAAGGAGCAAACTCGGTTCACATTTAGTTCATGGATGCATCGGCCACGTGTTTGCCACCCTGAGTCAATTGTTGGGAAAGGCGGCAAACCACGACGTCGCACAGTAGAACTAAAGACAAATGTGTTGGGTTGGTAGTTGTCGATAAATCATGTATCTCTAAATAGGGTCCAGAAGATTATGCAACTTAGTGACTCAAGATGTTTTCTGATAAAGATCGTGATACGAATAAATGAAGAACATACTGCGATTTTCTCCATCCCTTTGTTTCCATAAGTAATAAGAAGTCACAGACACTTCTTTTAACGTACTCAATAAGTATGTCTTCACGTTTTCCCTTATTCTAAAGTTATTTTATTTCTCTCTACCTTGAATATTTGTATGAAGCCTTCCTCAATAATCAATATAAGTTCGTGTTTTAAGTAAATCATTTGAAATAAATTGGTTACCCAACGGAGCACGTATAGTTTGTATATCTCGAAAATCAGTATATCATTCTGCTGAATGTAATCATCAAAGTAGGTTAAAATGCCTTTTCGCAATAAGACGTATCACCGTATGTTAATAAAAAACTCAAATTGTTACGAATATAGCATATTTACGAATGAAAGAGTTCCCTGCATTTTGTGCAAATATTGATTAAAATATTTTCTTCTTTTTGGTATGTATGACTTAAAGGAAAGTCTATACACTAGATGCACCAGAAATACTTCAAGAGAGAGAAACCAACTCATACCGAAACGTGAGAATTTAACACTGCTTCAATGGTCTGAAGTGACAATATTGAACTGGAAATGTCGATCAAGAAGACGCAATTAAACCAGATATAAAACAGAGTAATTGAACTTGCCAAAACGACTTAAATAAGTAGAGACTAACTCCCCCATCAGAAAGACGCAAGACCTTATACCGTTCATTATCCAAACTGACGATCCCCCAACTTAAATTTTAGTTCATTGCTTTCGGGTTTGTCCTCATGATGTGCTATAAAGTTAAAATACCTTCCAAATAATCAATGTCTCGCGATAAGAAATACAATCAAACTAGATTACTGCGAATGGGAAATAATGAAACATTCTAAGGACTTTCCACTGGGATCATGTGAATATACTAGCTACGGCAAAAACGGACGTTATTTCACAATTTACAGAATTTGAAATTTTTAATTCTGCTAAAAAATGGGTGACATTCTAAATAAGATGTTACTTTGCCTCAGTGCTTGATCTGACAATAAGAAACCAAAGGATTAAGTGCATTGACCAATTTACTTACTTATACAATGTGATCATTCCAGAAGAGCCGAAAAATCCAGATTAGCTAGAGGAAATATTATACAAAATGTATTTATTCAGGATATGGTGGCACCAAACAAAATGCAACACCACTGCATATAGTCCAAGGAATTGATTTAGCCTAAATCCTTAATGCAGCATGTAAATGTACTTAACGGAGTCACAAGAAACACGTTCACTTAAGCCTTTACAGTGTACTAGTATCACCAAAATTGAAGCCGACCTATAATCCATAAAACAATGATCATGCATATCATATCATTCACTATACTGCTTTTCTATATTTACAAATATACTCAAGTTAAGTTACAAAAGCCTTCTGCAAGAAAAAACTGCTGTGGTAAATTTAGAAAACCCTTGACTTAATCCTTCATCACAAAAAAGTTACTGATGATAATAAATAGCCTCAAAAACTGTGACACTTGTCCACCCTAATGAATAAACAGAACTAACATTGCAAATTAGCAAGTACTGTGATTCAGATAACTAGTTCGCTAGTCACCCATTAATCTAAGTGCGCAAGCTTTTGTTTATTTGGTTGGTGTTGGATGATTTCCCTATGAACTGGTGAAAATGAAGGGGCTTCTGGTAAACAGTGGCAATACATGGTACTCAATCACAACTAAAGTATTACCATACCGGACAATAGGTCTTGTACATCTATTAAGGAGCCTGAGATAGGAGTACAGATAAAAATGTCATGTTTCCCTCTGAATTATATCGAATAAGTCCGTTAAACCAAAGTTCATGTCATGGGCACAAAGAAAACCATAAAGCCTAGCGATATATGACCATTGGAAATATTCCCAATTTCTGTTTCTGGATAGTATGAGGATTAAACTAAGAAACTTTTCAGCAAAATAAAGCGACTTTAAACACGAGCTGCTATGTCTTGCAAATGATGACTTACCAAGGTAAGGAAACAAACGAAAATAACCAAACCGACCCCACGTTCCAAAGATACTGAAATTCCGCCACAAAGAGTGACCTCTCAGTACACTATTAAAAGTATCAAATGCAACTAAAGAACAATCTGAACTTTTTGGCATTGATCCACTAAACGAGAAGGAAGTGGAAGTCATACTGAGTTATCTTCCAACATAAATGTTTATAATTTCGGCCTTCTGGACTCGTCCTTACATTACACATACAAAAATTTCAGATCTTAAGAGACTTCTCATACAAGAATCGAAACTCTTAATATTGAGATTGTGGTCATCCCGAAGCTGCTTCTAATCCCAGTAGTTCTAGTGATCCTGATTAACTTCATCTACAAATGTTTCCTTGACTCCCTGAGACCATAGCAAAAACATTGTCGCCTCTGTACGTGCATGTCACTGTGTCAGTCCAAGTCTCGAAGGTACTGAAATGATGTCACCACCAGTCCTATCTTTAAAGCTTGACTTACAAATTTCCTCGAAGATTATCGTCTCTTTTAGTCTAAGTATTCCAGTTGCCGCAAGGAATTATCCGTGGTGCTGTTATTTGGTGTGTTGAGAGCAGTAAACATACAGCCGAGAAACATCATGACTTAATGGCAAGTCATTTATCTGACACACAACAAGTGCAGCCAATGCTCAAAGCCTGGGAGATGTCATCTTCAAGAACTTTGGAAAAGCAACTGGTAAAGTTACTGGTTTAAGCCACCTGGTAAAGCTAGATAACAAAATGCAAAGAACCTGGATCACGGACGTTTTCAGGGTTGGAGGACAGAGTTTAGGTAAACAGCTAGTTAACAACAGAACTTTGAGGGACATTTTTAGTATATTCTGCAACAATAATGGTGTTAGAGTTGACAGTATATGCCCAGTGCTAGCCCAAAATAATACCAAGAAACAAATAATAATATAAAACGAAAGTTAGAGGAAGGCTATGCTACGAACCTTGTGCGTATTCTGCCTTCCGCCTGCAACAAGGTTAGTGAATAATATGATAAATACCTGGTACCGAACTCCCACGGTGGATCAGCAAAGTCTGTGCGATGATATCTGGTTATGTGATGCCCATTTTTACCCGATTATCACATCAGCTGAGAGCTCGTCCATCCTACTAAAATTCGCTTAACTCTTAACTAAGCGTCTGCCATTATTATTTACCTTTGGTCGGCCATATTTTACTCTTCACTTTGCATTTTTATGATGGTGAACTGTGGATAATAATAGGGTATTGTCATACAGTTGCGATTTGTTTAAAAATAATTCATGGTAACCCCACTCAGTGTCTACTTGACTTTGAGTTGTCTGCAGGAAGAGTGTCTTATTCTGTTTGATTCTTGCAAATAGAGTTTCGGTCTCACGTAGTTAGGAATATTCCATATGCTCCTAAAGCATTTTAATGTTGTTTTTGCTATTTAATTAATTTTGTTGTACAGTATGTATTTGTATTTGGTGAACGATCGGTCTGTATAGCTCCCAGAAAGCGATGTTGATTTAGCTTTGTAATGTTTGAGGAGCTATACGGTAAAACGCCTAGATTAGGTTCCTGCATTGAGACCAAAATATTGAGTTTTGATCAATACAATGTTTTGCAGTGAAGTCTATTGTTTCAGATTCCTCGTTGTTTTCACAGGTCTGTTTAAATGGTAAATCTTGGTCATAATCACTTTGATTACTTGTTATCTCATCAGCCACTTATGAGGTGCTTCTGATGTTGCACGCCTTATCAGTCATTATTCATGTGAAACAGAGAAGACGTTCAGCGAAGAGACCCTTTTCGGCGAATTCATTCACGCAGCTGTACACTCGCATTTATATATAATTATTTTTGTGTGCATATACATGAGGTTTGTCAAGTTTAGATAATTAATAGGTAATACAAGAATGATCTAATGTAGAAACAAGGTTAATTAGACAGCAAATAGAGTAAGATTAAGTTAGTTAGTTAGATGACGTAATACAATTGACTAAAATGTTTCAACTTAGGTCAGGATAGCAAGAGAGGTAATTACAGGTAGAGACTAAGTAGAGGTGGGTTAGAGAATAATGCCATTTAAATTAGGACTAAAATTGAGCAAATAGGTTGGATGACGTAACATAAATGACTAGAAATTGAGAGCTTTTCAAGTCAGTAATAGTGGTAATGAGGTGTAGAAACTAAATCGGGTGGGGGTAGAGAACAGGAAAGTTGAAAATATAAAATATTACAATCGAGTATACGTGATAACGGATTACGAATACATGCAGGAAGTGTCAGTTTTTATTGCGATCAATAAAATACTCTGGGTCCATGTTTTATACACCTGGCAAACAGCGCTATCCTGAAAATATTGATGTTATCAGAGAGATGATTTCTTTATGTCTATTCTTGTGGTCATTCAGCTACTACTCTGTATTGTCTTTCGTTGTTTAAGCCCTCAGACTTAGTTTTCTGATTCTCATCAGTCCTGCGTGCTGCTGAAACATTGCTGTCTATTTGAGTGAATAAAGCCGCTCCATTGGGATTTCTTCCGTTGGTGTTGACTGGTCTAGTTCATTTAAGTTCATCTTAAGCCTCCTTTGCGCCGCCTGTACCAACTTGCTGGCTTCCTCTCTCATATCTACGAATTTGTGAAACCTTAAGAGGCTAAAGGTATTGACATTCGCGAAAAGTAAGATTAATATTAACGCAAGTGCGTCGGTGGCATAGCGGTTAGGACGCTCGCCGACACATGGTCCGGGGTTCGATCCTTGGCTGGCGCACCCTCAGGCGTGAGGCTAGTAACCCCACCCTGTAAACAAACCTGCTACAGAAACTTCAGCACGACGAATCTCCTTGCGCCAAAAGAAAAAGTCTGTGTGGGGACATGGAATGTCCGCACCATGTACCAGATTGGCAAAGCTGCCCAGATCGCAAACGAGATGAAGAGATATGGTATTAAAGTACTGGGAATATGTGAAAGCAGATGGAGCGGGAATGGACTCACCAAATTGTCAACGGGTGAGTCAGTGATCTACTCTGGTCACCCAGAAGATAACCACTCGCACACCGAGGGCGTGGCTATCATGATGTCACCAACGGCAACGAAGGTCCTGATGCAATGGGAGGCGATCTCGCCCAGGACAATGACCGCCAGATTCAACTCAAAAGGAAGGAAAGTGTCAATTATACAATGCTATGCACCGACCAACAACGCAGACCTCGAAACGAAAGAAGAATTCTACAGACAACTACATGCAACAATGGACAATACTCCAGTCGGCGACATTAAAATACTAATGGGAAACATGAATGTCAAACTGGGATCAGACAACACGGGAAGGGAATTCATCATGGGTAGAGAATCTCTCGGAGAAATCTTCGTCGACTTCTGCGCCTTCAATGAACTAGTGATTGGCGGCAACGTATGCAAGCACAAGGATATCCACAAGGCCGCATAAATGCCACCAGACGGGCGGACCAAAAACCAAATTGACTTCATCTCAATCTCAAGGAAGTGGAGGCGCAGCTTGCTGGACACAAAAGTAAGAAGAGGAGCAGACGTTGGCTCATACCACTACCTCGTACGAGGGACAATCCAAAGCAAATTAAAAGCTTTCAGAGAATCACGAGCTGCAGACAGATCACAAGCCAAGTTCAGCATTCAAAAACTGAAGGACCAGGACACAAAGGACATCTTCACTGCAAGCATAAAGGACAAAGTCGAGACACAAATCAACACTGGCGAAGAGGTCAGCGTCGAAAAGCACTGGAACAACTTGAAAACAGTGTGGAGTCAAACCTGCATGGAAGTTCTAGGCAGAAAGAAGGGACAGGACAAACAGTGACTCACTACGAACACATGGAGACTAATAGAAGAGAGAGGGATGGTGAAACAAAAGTTTCTCCAGTGCACCAACGAGCAACAAAAACAGGATTTGAATGCAAACTGCAATACACTGAACAAAAGAGTAAACAAGAGTGCCAGGGAAGACAAAAGACAATATTATGAAGCCATGGCAAGTGAAGCAGAACAAGCTACAGTATAGGCAAAGGAGACCTCGCAACACTACCAAAGAACTAGGTACCTATCGGGAAAAAGTTTGATACAAATTAAGCCGGTGAAGGATGACAATGGAAAGTCACCCACCAAAGAAGTGGAGCAAAGGAAACACTGGGCTGAACACCTCAAAAGACTCCTAAATCGACCACCACCTACAACGCGCCCAACAATACCAACAACGGAGACAGAGCTACCAGTGAACACCAACCCCCCAACGAAATCAGAAGTCCTGAAGGCAATCAAGATGCTAAAAGCTGGAAAAGCAGCAGGACCAGATGGAATCCCAGCAGAAGCATTGAAAATGGACCCAGAGACAACAGCAGACTTGATGACGCCACTACTGGAGAAGGTGTGGAAAGAAGGCAAAGTACCCGAGGATTGGAAGAAAGGATACTTATTCAAACTAACAAAGAAAGGAGACTTAAGTCAATGCAAGAACTGGCGCGGAATTATGCTCCTGTCCATCCCAAGCAAAATACTAAGCCGCATCATCCTGGAGAGAATCAAACATGCCCTAGATGAAAAACTTCGACCGGAACAGGCTGGATTCAGGAGAACCAAGTCATGCATTGATCAGATCGCCACATTACGGATCATCATTGAACAAAGCTTGGAATGGCAGTCACCTCTCTATCTCAACTTCATCGACATCTCATCCAACAGCTGTACGATAATGCTGCATGACAAGTAATCCACAACGGGAAACTTACGGAATCCTTCGAAGTGAGGACAGGAGTAAGACAAGGTCGCCTACTATCGCCAATGGTATACTCATTGCAGTAGATTGGATAGTGCGACAAACAGCGGGCAATGAGGAAACAGGCATAAAATGGACCCACACGAAAAACTTGGAGGATCTGGACTTCGCCGATGATATATGTCTGATTTCCCACAAACTGGAAGATATGCAAGTGAAAAGCAACAAGTTGTCAGAAGAAGCATCCAGAGGAGATAGGACTTCAGGTGAACATAGAGAAAACGGAGGTGATGAAAATTCCTGGCCAACACCAACAGCCACAGCAACAACAACAGACGGCAATCAACATAAAT